GTTACGATAAGAATATATAGAACTTGAAGTTCCTTGATCAGATCAAAACCTATAGTTTCTTGATCCTCATCATTTTGGACCTGAAGTTCCATCATGCAAAAGGATCGGGGATGAAGTCCTTTGACCCTTAAGATCAAGACATGAAGTTCCTTGATAAGTACCATAAGTTTGAAGTGCCGCAGTGCCTTAACTTAACTGTAATAAAAGCCAAAAGAGTCTTAGTCTACACCAGAAGTTCCTTATATCCATACTCAAAATGGTTTAGTAGAAGTATTTATTAAGCGGATAAAATTGATTATCCGCGCTCTGCTCATGAAAATGAAATTGTCAAGTTTCTATATAGGGACATGTCATTTTACATGATGCAATATTAATTAGCTTTAGATCTGTTGCTAACCATCAATACTTTTCAGTACAACTCGTGTTTGGGCACAAGCCAAACATTACACATTTACGAGTCTTTGGTCGTGTTATCTATGTGCCTATTGCACTGCCACAATATACTAAAATGGCGCATCATCACAAACCAGGAATTTATGTTAGATTTGATTCATTATCTATCATTCAATATTTCGAACCCTTGACTGGGGATATGTTTACTGCGTGGTTTGTGGACTATCATTTTGATAAGACAATTTTCTCGCCATTAGAGGGAGAAAATAACATCATTCCAGAAGAACGATGAGAAAATATAATTCCAGAAGAATGATGAGAAAAGACCGTTCCAGAAGAACGAAGAGAATTTGTCTTATTTTGATTCACGAAGCAATCAATATGAAAATGAAGTAAGAATAATTGAATGATGTGTCAATCAAATGCCAGATGCATTTAATAATGCAACAAAAGGAATGAAATCACATATACTTGCTTCAAATGTGCCTACAAGAATTGATGTCCCTATTGGACAATATAATGAGGCAGCAAATGATTTATCTATTGCATACCTGAAGCATGACAGACCCTTAAACTCAAAAGGTTCAGTTATTTGAAAGAAGAAGAATATGACACTACTGAACTATTGCATTCCCGAAGCATTTTTGTTTCATGACAGTCACCGCATAGATACACGTCCCAGAAAGGACAATCCGCGGACATGAGAATGTTGGTGTCTCATGCATGAAGCATGGTAGAAATATAGGTTCCAATGAATCAACTCCCAGGAGTAGAGATTACAATCCAAGCTCTATAACGCTCAAGAAGAGGTTATGATCTGCATTCTCTAAAATTATGATTATCCTGGAAGAGATAGTGTAATGCCCTTGAAGAGGCAATGGATATCCAAAAGAAATGAAAAGTTTTTATGCATGTGCATGCACTTGAGAATATGGGACCACAGATTGATGATAACCAATGGTAACTTTGGTTTTTACAAGTAGCTACTAAATTCATCAATGAGCTGTGTTGATATTGAGTCTCACTCTTTTCCGTCAACGAAAGGAAAGATTATTGACCAAAAAATGGAGAAAGGCAATTCCATTACAATTTTGTAAGAACGTAAAAAAATGAACCTATATACGTGTATATAATACAAATAGTCAAAAGATGCTGAACCAAGGAGGTTACATATGGGCATTTGTAATATAGTGAAATACAATCGCATGATATGACATAAGGTTACTCAATGATACCTGAAATTATACTCTTGTAAACGAGTTCATATGAATGGAGAATTATATACGAAGGGTTATGATCGCCCACATCATATCTCAACAAGTAAATCCCTCAAGTATACATGAAAGCAAGTTGTTCTGTATAAATTTCAAAGGAAAACGTGTCATAAAGTGTAGAAAATCCCTAAAAGATTCAAATTGCATGAAGAAAGCCCTGTAAGGGTAAAGCATAAAATATGTACTCAATACCAATGGATGGTATAAATTGCCTTAGTGAGTACTGTCACATCCTGGCCTAGGCCCCCACCACATCCCGGCCTCGACTCTACTGTAGCACGATATTGTCCATTTTGGGCCCCGACCATGCCCTCACGATTTTATTTCTGGGAACTCACACGAGAACTTCCCAGTGGATCACCCATCCTAGGATTGCTCTCGCGCGAACTCGCTTAACTTCGGAGTTCTGATGGAACCTGAAGCCAATGAGCTCCCAAAAGGCCTTGTTCTAGGTAGAGATGTGAATATACATATAAGGCTTACAGGATCCACTACGCTGGGCGATGTGGGATGTTACAAGTACTATCACTATGATATTGTTGCAACATACTAAAATCTCTTGCAAGAGTCGATGACATTAGATTGAGACTCTTGAAGAGTCTAGAAAGATTATAAAGTGTTGAAAGGAATATTGTCTCGAACTGCAGATCGAACAATATGCCAACACGAATATTATCTATGATGTTTATGATATTAAAGAATCATATGGATTGAAGATTATGAGTTGAATACTCAAATGATGTAAGCACTAAAAATGATCATTTATCTTCGTGAGGGTAAAGATAAATTGATATTTGGTCCAGAAGTACCACATTTTAGTGAAGTACATGCTTTATTGTATTTGGCACAATACATTGAATGAAATAAAGCTTATCTATTGATATTTCTGAGAAATTATAGGTATGTGCATACACATGAGTTAAAACAAACAAACAAGATGGAGCCTTCATAAAGGTTGCTCATGTGAGCCTCAGTACTCGGTAGTACCCCAGAAGAAGAAGGCACTGGAGATTGATCATGCGACGCCCCAGTACTTGGCGAAAGACCAGGAGGGGAAGGCATCAGTTACTTTACTTTCGGAATCTAGCAACAAACCTCTGGTGATCACTTTAAATCCGACTTTCGGATTCTTGCAGCTGGTTGAGTAATTATTTGCAAGCACGTGTAACACTCTATTCTCATGCTTGAGCCATCTGATCTCTTGTTTAAGACTTGCACCTCAGCCATCAATGATTCAACTTGGTAAGTTTAAGCAAGTAGGCGTTGGCCCATATTGGAAATAGAACTAGCACACTGAACGTTGAGAGCCAATGAGTCTTGAACGGCCGACTCATCAGACCGTTTTGAAAGGATTCTATTATCCTTTGGAGTGAGAAGATTCCTAGCTACCACTGTAGCGGTTATGTTATTCCTCATCATAGAGTCTTCAACTGTAAGAGGGCCATTAGAAGATGAGAATGATGGGTGCCATATATTATCCTGACGCGACTCGTCGGTATCCCTACTGAGACTCAAATCTAAACAAAGGTTAGATGGGCAAGCCATTTTTAGAAATGATGAAGGAAAAATGAGGTCAGATAAAATCTCAAAAGTGCAAGAAGGGAAAAATTCTACATGCAACAGTTTTCCAAGCATACATTTTGAGCACAATTGATGCCTCTATAAAAGAAAAGGCAATAGAGCCACTTGTTCGAAGATCGAAAAGGCACCACTCTCAAAATTTCAAAAGCCGGATTTCTTGGATCAAAGTTCATCAACATTTCTCAGACGCAATCTCAGCTTTTCAGATATCACATGCAACTTTGTCAAAGATTTCTGACAAAGTTGAGAATGCGTAAATCTTACTATTCTAATTACACCACAGTTGCTGACAAGAGTAAAGGTACAACACCACTACTTGCTATTGGGAAATCTCTATATATGTCGACCTCCGTTCTCTGCAACAAGGCAGACCTGTAAAAATACCTAACTTTTCCTCATCTTCGAGAATGCATCTTCAACAAAGCATCTTGAAATACTCAGTTTTATTCTTCTCCGAGAATACCTCTTCAAGCAAGTCACACCATAGCAAGAGTATCTCATATCATCAGGGACGAAAGCAAGAGTATCTCATATCACGCAATCTCCCTGTCATTTCCTTTGTCCTTGTTCTCACCTGCAGGATAAGGAGAAAGAGAGCAATCAGTCGCCACATGGAATCAAGCTCTGGATCTAGAACTAATTGCTTGGAATCTTTGCATGGTTGCTTACATTGCATAGCTCTCGAGTACTCATTTTCAACTGTTGATATGATGTTGGTTATTTACACTGAAGTTGCCAAGCATGATGAGTTGATGAGAAGTGATGTTCTGAATGACCATTTAAATGCAAGGGTTGCATTCCACTCCTGCATTAGGGGACAAATACTGCAAGAGAAGATGTCACACTTGCATATGGGAAAACTAGGGAAAATACCATTTCTGCAAGGGGAACAAATAAGGCAAGTGAAAATGATACATTGAAGCATGTGGAGACAAGCACAACAAAACACGTGTCGATTCATCCCCGACGGAGCCGAAGATCACTTGTTACATGGAGCTGCTTGTGGTCCCATTTCATTCGAGAACAAGTCCCAATGCCCTTAAAGAAATCACAAGTCAGATTCAAGATCAAGTGTCCACCACCCTTGAATCAAATTTAGCTCCAGATAAATGAAGTAAATTTAGACCTTTGGATAAAGTCTAGCAGAAGGCCCTTCATCCCAGTTCAAGAACAAGCATGTGGAAAGTCAACAAGCACAACATATATGGTACTACTCATTAGGGGGAGCATCCAAAAACAGATCAAGATTTTAACGAGTCAATCAAAGACTTATGGCCATCCAAGGGGGAGCGTTGTAGAACAATGGATGTCCACTCAAAGAATTAAATAATGGGCCCTTCCACTGTTTGCCGAAGCTTGCCTCATATGACTCCTATTTTCTATATAAATACAAACTCCACACAACATCAAAAAATATAAGTTCACAGAAGAGGAAGAGAGAAAAGAGAGGAAGAGGAGAGGAGATAACAGAGAGTTATTTTGTACTCCTATTATTCTAAATTATAATGAAGGCACCATTGCTGCTCCGAGGACGTACTCCAGTCACACTAGCTATAGAGGAATCTTGTAAATTTTATATCTTGTTTTATTTATTCCACTGTACACACCGTCGATTTTACAACACTTTCAAATTTAATACATTGTTTGAAGTCCCAATTTTGTTTTTTCAACAAGGAAAGCCCCCAAAAGTAAACAAAACCAACCTCTTCCCCCCAGTTTGAATCATCAAATCCAATCTCCTCCCTTTATTTGCTGCTTCGTCAAAACTCTCACTATCCGAAGTTACATTACCCTCCGAAAAAAAAAAAAAAATTACTCGGATCCTAGCCGTCCGCTCCATTGACTGGTAGCACAGTGTTAAATCTCCATCCTTGAAAACTTACCAACAAACACTTGTCACATAAGCCGCAAAGAGGAAAAAAAAAAAAAAAGCCGCAAACCAGACGGTCCAAGCCATTTGATCTGGAAGCCATTGAAGCCCCCGCGAGAGCACGATAACGCAAAAACGGAGCAAAACCCACGTCTCTCCTATCGATTTCGAACCCGGAAGAACCAAAAAGTTGAAGCATTCCAAACCCTAGGAGGGGTCATGATCGTATGCTCCCAGGCATATTCTAATCGACAACGACGACACCATGATCAGTACGGCCAACGGTATGATGCAAACGGCGTCGTCTAGCAACGCTCAGTCGCCGGGTCTCAAGACCTATTTCAAAACCCCTGAGGGAAAGTACAAGCTTCAGTACGAGAAGACGCATCCTTCGGGGCTCCTTCACTACGGCCATGGCAAAACCGTCACTCAGGTGCACTGAATTTTCCGCCGTTAATTTCTTTCGTTGCCCTTATTGGGAATTTTTCTTTTTCGAGTAGCAATTTTTGGGGTTTTTTTTTTGTAAAGCTGTGGCCTTTTCTGTTTTTGGTAATGGCGATTGTTTAGGGGTTTTATCAATATTTATGACTCATGTGCTAGAAAATTGAAGATTGGAATTTAATTTTCTGGGATTTGTTTGGAGTGTGTAATTTTTTAGGTTAATTGTTGAAAGAAATGTTAATGCTGGAAATATGAGGTGCTTCAAGACCCAGTATTCGAAATAATTAATCCTACTTTGACATTTTCGTAAAGTTTAATTTTTTTAGTGCAGTTTTGGATGAATTCAACTAACTTATACCTGTAAATAGTTTATAGTTCAGTTACTCTGCAAGTATTTTCTTCATTTCCGATTCGTGATATGTAAGTTAAAAGCTTTCTGGGTTGTTGATTGTCAGGCAACATTGGCAAATCTTAAGGATAAACCTGCTCCATCAACCCCGACCGCGCCATCTTCAAGCTTCAGCACTGGAAGTGGCGTACGTTCAGCTGCAGCAAGGTTGTTGGGTGGTGGTAATGGGACCCGGGCGCTTAGCTTTGTTGCAGGGAATGGAGGAGGTAAGAGTGTCAGTGCGAGTAGTAGAGTTGGGTCTTTGGTGGCTTCCAGTTCGAGTACTTCGACTTCTACTTCGAATTTTGATGGGAAAGGGAATTATTTGATCTTCAATGAGGGGGATGCGATCTTCATCAGTGATTTGAATTCTCAAGACAAGGTATTTTAGGATTTTCTTTTGTAGGTTTAGGAGTTGCTTTTGTAGATTAGGAGCTGGGATTGGTTTATGATTGGTTTCTTGTGCATGTAGGATCCAATAAAGTCTATACATTTCAGTAATTCAAACCCTGTCTGCCACGCATTTGATCAAGATGCGAAGGATGGTCATGATTTGATTATTGGGTTGAGTTGTGGTGATGGTACAAATGTTTGCTTGCATTTGAAATCACAATCTTTTAAGGGGTGTGATATCCACACACCCCATTTTACTTCTCACACACCTTTTTAATTTTCAGCCGTCGGATTGGTTGAATTGAAGAAGATCAACGGACAGAAATTATCAAGGGGTGTGTGAGAAGTAAAATGGGGTGTGTGGATAGCACACCCCTCTTTTAATTTTATTTTGTATGAAGTTAAAATATTTTGAATGGTTGTATGTTTATTTTTGTAGTCTACTTAGTGTCACTGAGACAGCAATTGCAGGATGTTGGAAAGAAGCTTGTAGGTGCTCAGCATTATAACAAAGATGGCTCTGTTAGTAACAGGTAAGAATAGGATTCTCTCATATTTTTAATAATTTGGATGAATATACAACTGTAAAATTTTTACTCATTTTTAGCTTATATATTTCAAAGACAGCTTGAAACTAGAAGTAGATTAAATCATTAAATGCTTTCTTTATAGGAGGTTCGAAAGTAATGGTTGTTTCTGTAATGTTGAATGGCTTAGAATAAGCTGAAGAACTACTCTACAATTTGTTCATTGATGCAGTACGGGTTGGTATATTTGAATTTTTAAGTTGGCTTCTGTAGAGTTTAGAAGGTAGCTTAACGATCAAAAAAGGAAAATAGAACACTCTAAGTGGCTGTGGATCTTAGTCTATTTCTGGTTTAGGCTTCACATTGAACAGTATAATTTTCTCTCTACACATGGCTGCAAGTTAGTGCGTACTGTCTTGTTTCATCACTCTTGCAAGGACTGATTCTTGTTCTCTCACACCGGCCATTTTCAGTAGTCCAATGTGGAGTCTGGATCTTTTGGTTTCAAGAATGTTTTAGTAGATGCTTGGCTGAGGCCGTTTTGATGCCTTATTGTAAATTTTGGATCTTTTGTTTATAAAATATTAGCTAACATCCCCGTATCCTATGATTTGGGTCTAACTGAACTGGTGAATTTAGTCCCTGTAACTTGGACTATTATGCATTTGGACTGATTTTTTGCTTGTGTGTCATTTCCTCAATGGGTATCATTTGAGAGCATTGTGACTCTTTGATTTTTTTTTTTTGGACGCTTTTGTGGAGTAGCTTGATTAATACCTGTTTTCAACAGCCGTTGTACTAGTATTGCATGGGTTCCTGGTGGTGACGGTGCTTTTGTTGTCGCTTATGCCGATGGGAATCTGTATGTATATGAAAAGGCAAGCCTCTATTATCGGAAAAATACTTTTCGCTAACTTTACCTTTTTTTTTCCATGTATATTAGGTAATTTGATTTGATTTTTATTTATCTTTATTTCTTTCTAGAGCAAAGATGGGGCAGGCGATTCCTCATTCCCTGTTATCAAAGATCCAGCTCAATTTTCAGTTTCGCATGCACGTTATAATAAGGTATTGAGTTGTGTTCCCCATGTTCCTATTTCTTCTAAAAGTGGCTGTGAAAGTTTTTCTATTATTTAGATAAGGCTCAACATGCAGCTGCTATGTCAATATGGTGAATTTAAGACTTCTGACAGTTAATAGACACCATGTTGACCTTTTGATAACAAAGTTTGTATCATATTCTGAGATATAAATTTTTTTGGGTGCTGTAGTTTGGTTATTAATCGACAGTGTAGATTCCTAGTCTACTACAGGCACCGTTTGAGACTTGTGAAACTCGGTCTTCATTTGCTAGGCTATTTTAACCTACAATGTTCTCAAATGTTAAGTTGTCCAAACAAAATCTATCAGTTAATTAATTTCTGTTTGAGATCTTACAGGTTCATGTCCATTATACTGGAATATCATTGTGGTTATTTACTGAAGGCTGCATTGCATCAACATATGACTGATAAACGTCAGATAGTTATAAGGGGAAATGTATATCTGAAAAGCGGAATTTCTATTTCCTTTTCCAACTACCATTTTGCTGCTGACTTCCTGTTATGTGTGTGCAGAGTAACCCAACTGCCAGATGGCATATCTGCCAAGGTTCGGTAAATAGTATTGCTTTCTCAACTGATGGGTCCTATTTGGCGACAGTTGGAAGAGATGGTATAATGTCATTGTTTGCACCGTGCAATTGCTCTTTTTTTTCCTTGGTTCAAGGATCCTTTTATGCATTAGGTTAAATATGAACTAAATTTAATTACTGAATGCAGGTTATCTACGTGTTTTTGACTACTCAAAACAGCAACTTATATGTGGTGGCAAAAGTTACTATGGGGCCCTTTTATGTTGCACTTGGAGGTGTGCATCTTTACTGGTTTTCTATTGAAGCTTGCTGCTAGTTTTTATAATATTGTTCCGATCTTGTAAATGACCAGTGAATTTTGAACTTCTTTTTTATTTGGCCTTTTTTGCATAAAGATATTATTATACTTTTGAGAGGATAGTATGATTGATTGAAATTGGAACAGTATGGATGGAAAATACATACTGACAGGAGGTGAAGATGATCTAGTTCAAGTTTGGAGCATGGAAGATCGGAAAGTTGTAGCATGGGGAGAGGGGCACAACTCTTGGGTTAGTGGTTTTTTTTTTTTTTTTTTTTTTTTTTTTTTTTTTTTTTTTAAATAGCATTGCGCTTGTTATATTACCCGATTGTGACTTGTTTACTAAGTTCTTACTGGATGATGTTGGCAGGTTAGTGGAGTGGCGTTTGATTCGTATTGGTCGTCACCAAATTCAGATGGTATGGGGGAGACTGTCATGTACCGGTTTGGCTCTGTCGGTCAGGTATCAGAAAAATAATTGTTGGATGTGTCAAAATTTGTGTATTTACATAATCAAATATCTCATGTGAAAAAAATGCCGTAGTTTGATTAGTTGTAATCCTTTTCTGTAAACTTTTATTGGTCACTGCCTTTCTCATCGTCCTAAAACTCAAGATACAAGGCTTAAGTTTATTTGAAAAGAAAGATAGTCTGAGCTGAAAATGAATTTGTGAGAATTGATGATCTTTGATTAATCTTGTTAGTTTTTCAGCTTACACTTTTCGTTTGAGTACAGGACACACAGTTGCTTCTGTGGGACCTGGAAATGGATGAGATTGTGGTGCCATTGCGGCGATGTCCTCCTGGCGGCTCCCCCACATATAGTGCTGGAAGCCAGTCATCTCATTGGGACAATGCACTTCCAGTAGGTACTCTGCAGCCTGCTCCAAGCTTGCGAGATGTTCCAAAATTATCACCGTTGGTTGCTCACCGGGTACACACTGAACCCCTCTCTGGCGTGATGTTTACCCAAGAATCCGTTCTTACTGTCTGCCGAGACGGGCATATAAAAGTTTGGGTGAGACCTGGGGTTTCAGAAACCCAATCAAACAACTCGTCCGAATTAAGTACCAGCTCGAAGGAAAAGCCTTTGTCCTCAGTCAAGGTTGGCAGTTCGGGTTACAAGCAATGACCAGACTGTCGTCAGACAAGGCAACACAAGTTTCTCTGTTTTTTTTCTTTTTTCGATAATTTTTCCCATCGAGTTACAGTTTCTACCTATTTGCCTGTGTAGCAATTTTTCTCTTGTTGTCCAGTTGGTTTTGCAGACAAAAAAGCACTTTCGTGAGCATAATCTGATTGGCATTGCGATGCGACCAACTGTTTCTATTGTATAGACAAAAATGTCATTGAAGGCAGTAAGAGGTTGGGAGGGAGAAAACCCCCATTTGTAATTACGAAACGGCTTTTTGCTAGAATATATTTGCTGACCTACACGAATGATACGATGTTTGCTCCCTCGAAATATGTTTCATCTCATCAGTGCAACGGAGCGAAAGTCCACTTTTCAGCACGTAATGCATTCTTAAAGTCTACGAAGAACAGAGCAAGACGTTCTGATACTTTTTTCGCAAAATCATAACGAAGGATGAGCCGAACAATGTGGCTCTCAAGGCCAAACTATATGTACAAATAGTTTATGTACAACGCTTAACATGTGCTATATTTCGTATCAGTTTACAGCCAGACTTTCCTTTGGTACGCCGCGTCGGCATTCGTGCATGCTAAGGTAGAGAAGTCAGCTGCCATGAGTAACTTCTGCTCATTCGAGTTCATTTTCCCGCTGTTGGGGATCCGTCTGTGTACGTCGTGTATTCTGGGGTGATTGATTCGGCTGCGCCACCTCCTGAGAACCACGCTGTTGATTTGACTCCTGAGAACGCCATCTTTCCCTCAATCCCGAAGCCTTGACAATGATAGAATTTCCACACATTGTAACTCCAAATCCTGAAAAGGTGGCGAGGAGAAGAGCCAGAACTGCCTGCATGTGAATCTGTGGACCGAACAAGAAAATTTAAGACATTGTTACCAATAAGGCGAACAAGCATATTCAAGAAGTGCATTCGCACGTCCCTCACTATTTTGATCAGCGTTTTTTTGTTCTAAGCATTTGTAGCCAAAATTTTGAAAAATCCTACCCGCTGCTTGATTACAGGAGTAACTCTTACCAATGAATAAAGTAGATGTGACGCGAGAACCACCAGTACAAACTGAATAGTTGCATAAATCCAGACATATCTTCTTCTCACTGAGCACAAATTTCTCAGTCAGTAAAACAGAACGATCATTGAATTCTATTTTTTATACTGGAAGGAAAATCACTGAATCCATGCAACGCAAACTATTGCATGACAAAAGTATTTCAAAGTTAGCTTACCCATCGTGCTCGATGTCATGGATGCCAGAAGACCCAAAATGCAGGAAAAAGGAAGAGAAAGAGCAATTGCACCCGATCCCATTTTCCCCACCTGTCCATGTGATTTAATTAGAATTTGAAAGGCTAAGAAAGAAAAGCATAACGAAGTTGAATGACGTACCAGAAGCTGCTCAAGAAAACAGAAGTAAGCAAGCATGCTGACTATGACAAGGATGGGAACATCCTGCCAAACCCTGACAAAATTTGCATGCATTATTAGTTATACCATCCTAGGAGGTGGTATCGAACACAATAAAGACACAGCAAGTGCAGAAATTTCCGCTCCCGAGCATTACAACAGTTGAAAATTGTCACTTGCCTATATTGAGTAGCCTCAGCCTGCTGTGCTCTACTTGGTCGAAAATTAACGGCCTGAGAATTTTGAATTCGTAGAAGGGTGACCGGTAGGTTCTGAACCTCTTCTCCGCACACATCACATTTTTTATTACCTTTAATGCTGAACCATTTTACAGCACATTCTTGGTGGGCAAGAGCAAGGTCGCCTTTACATCTGCATTCCATCTTGAGGGTGTCAGCGTCTTCACCCAGCTCAACTAAGCAAATTCGACAAACAGCTTCTTCTTCAGCAATATCTTCACCACCATCATTGCTTCCACCTGAACCGCAAGACTAAGATAAGGCATAGGTTGGTTATCACAAGTTACAAAAGCAGGATCAAAGGTAGCTACAATCTGAAAACACGGACAATTGGTATATCATGGCACTCAGGTGCATTTGTAAAGGAATAGGAATGGTTTTTGTCGATATGGACAGAGACAATTAGAAGTAGGACTTACCAGTGTCATTTACAGGGGATGTGCTTGATGTTGTCGTGACAATCCCTTCAGCCACTCGTGGCGTGGTTGGAACTACACGAATGACACTGCCTACACATATACTTCCATCTTTATTAATTGCAGGGACTGAAAGTGAACGGTGAATAGGTCGTTGGGCCTCTGCTTTCTGCAAAGTAGAGAATCATGTAAACATATCTGTGAGGGCTAATTGAGACAAAATAACTATGCTAGAAATACTTGTTCCTTATAAAATGTGTGCAACAAGTAGACGCACTCAGATGCCATCTCAGGATGCAGAGCTCAAGGCTTAAAGCGCTGATCTGATGAAAGTTCTAAGAAAAGCACCTTATGGAAGTAATTTAAAAGAAACAAACTTTTGGAACATCATAAAATGAAAGGGCATTGCAACCCACTGTAGGAACTCAACTTGATAGACAAAAGAATAGGAACCAATGTTTAGCCTCCGCTAAAAAAAATTCTGTGTGGTGCACCGATGGACGATTATGATTAACACCCACTTCATTTATTCTCTAAGTCATCAAGAGAAGGCGAAAAGGTTGTCTTTTGGTCCCATTGATATTTTCAGTGGAAGCAGTACAAGAAATTAAGGGGGAAAGTCAGGGAACCCATCACAAGGGTGGTGCACCACCACTAGAACATACGATGTTGAGGAAACCGACTATAAACATACCTTAGTTTTCTTCTAACAGAAAACTGTCGAAGATTAGCAAGCAAGCAGAATTGCCAAAATATAGGAAAACTTACACAGATTCCATAAACATATGAAAAGCATGAGACATCAAATTCTATTTAAGATTCTTTGTTATTATAAAATTTCCGTAAATTATGGTCAACTTGAATTCTTCTCAACAAAACAGTACTCACCAGATCAGTTGTGTTCCTGCCATGCATAGACTCTGGATTTGAGTGAGCAATTGGAGTTACAGGCAAGGATGATGTATTTTTCATTCTGGGAGTTAAAAGCTTTGTAAAGGACCAGGCCCTTGGAATTGTAGGCTTCTCACGTGTCCCTGCAGGTAAGCCTCCTAGTGCTAGAGCGGCGGCCTTCTGAATCTCCGAAGTAGTGTTCCGATGTTTGAAACTTAGTTTTGGAAGGAGACTTCTTTTTGTGGTTGATTTAGTTTTTGATGATGAGGGACCTGGGGAACCACTGATTTTGGCTACAATAGGGCTGGGTAATGGGGAGAAGTTTACTCTTTTGGGAGTGGGACTCGGCGTTGGGGGCATGTTTATGCTTACAAAATCTTCTTTGGCATCCTCAAGAGTTCTTGGAGGTATCTGTAACACAAGGTTCTGTCGTCTCCATGGATGGTCAGGAGGAGCTTCTTCAATTATCTCAGTGGAATCTCCACCCTGTGAGAGAATAACAAAAGAAAGATTATTCAGGATCAGAAAAATATGCATTCTACAAACACAGTGTCTTTACCTGATCAACTACTAGTTATACAACAATCTCAGACAATCATGTCTATGATGCACAATAAGATGAGAAATGAATAGCGAAGAACTCGCACGAGTCAATATATTTTCTCTGGCATAGATGTTAGAAATTACAATAGAGCAAAATCATATGAATTGTTCCTCGTTAAGAACATCATGAAAACACAGAATTTTGAAAACAAACAGAAAGGCATCTTCTTTTTACCCAAAAAATTAAGAAAAACACACAGAAATATAACACGAAAACAATAACAGTGTAAACCCTGACTAGTTCTAAAAGGATTTGGATGCTTACAACTTGAATTTCATAGTTATACAGATACCAACTTAAGATTGAAAGTATAATAATCGGCAGTTTAATCATGCATTAACCCAGTTTAAGTAAAAAAGAACAAGAGATTAAGGAAGAAAACTAATACGAACTTAGAAATTTCACAATTCACAAACAAATATCTGATAAAGTCTTAAACGGATTGAAGCAACAAGTGGGGAAAACGGAAGGCAGGAAACAAATATATAAGAACAATCCACCAAAGAATTTTCAAAAAAAAATGGGGTACCATGTGGGCTGAAGGCTCAGCTTCGTTGGTGAAAATGTTGCCACCATTTTTAACGATGCTTTCATCTTCAGTCGCCATAGCTCAAAAGCTACTGCTACAGGTTCTGCAAAAAACACTAAAACCCACTAGAGGGAAGGGGCAGAGGAGCTGAAAAAAGCAGAGAGAGAGGCAGCTGAGAGTCTCTCTCCTCAGACTGAGTCTCAAGCAATTCAAGGGCCCGCAGTTACTGCAAGGGAGGGGGATAGGAAGGCTCGTTCGGCGTCGTCAAGCATTAAAAGGGTTTTAGCGTTTTGGCATGTTTTGGGCTTTGCAAGTTTGCGGTGACAAATTTGGACAATCCTTTGCATTCCCGTTATGGAAATGGAATGGGTCATTTTGATTCATGTCCCTAATTAATTTAATTGTTAGACTAAAATCTTGTTTGTTTAAATATTTTAATCGAGATTCTTAGCCTCATTTAAAATATTTAATTCATGCATAAAATTCATGCATTTATGCATTTAAGGTCCCACAAATTATGAAATTTAAACAAATTCAAATAATATTTTTAAATATAATAAATACTTAAAAATCAAATTTAGAGTAATATTTAATGTACCCACATAATTACTAACATATTTTAAAAGTTAACTGTTGAAATATTTTAAAAGATAAAATAAATACATATAATTAGCATGGGTACATTTAGCAAAATTAAAAATGGGTACAAATAAATTAAAAAATATAGATACAAATACAAATAAAAGTTTAAAAAATATGGGCACAAAAAGGAATTAATATTTGGGTACAAATTAAAATTGAAAAGAAAATTTGTACAAATTAAAAAACAAGATTGCAAATTAAAAATGGATACAAACTAAAAAATAAAAATATATGATAAAAAATTTAGCCATGAATATAAATATAACAAATGTAACGTTTCTACCACTAAATGAATATATTTAGAAATAAAAAATATTTTATGATTGAAATAATTAATGGCATTTATTAAAATCTAAGGACTTTGATAAAAAAATTGAAAAAGAAAAAGGTTTTAATTAATGAAGTAGGGAAAATAGGGATGGGAACCTAATTTTTCCAAATAGATATATACACTACTACAAAAGGGGGCTATAGTGTCGGAGGGTGGTGTCGCTTTAATCTAATATAGTAGCGGATTAGGCAGTTGCGACATTAACTGAACATGACGTCGGATTTACTGTCGCTTATAAGCGTTATTAAATTTTTATGTCGCTTTTAAACCGACGTAAACATATATTTTAATAATTTTTAAATACTAGTGTCGCTTTTAAACCGACGTAAACATTATTTTAATAATTTTTAAATACTAGTGTCGCTTTTAAGCGACATAAAGTGTGTATATATATATATATATTAAATTATATATATATTAAATTAAATTTTATATCCCTAAAAACTATAATAATTATATATATATATATATTAAATTAAATTTTAAAAAATTGGTGATCATTGGATTGGCTTAAATATACATACGATTCAATTTCTTAAGTGTTATACATACAAAATAAATAAATTTAAATCTACTTAATATATATATATACACACACACACCATTGAACTTGATTGGATACGAATTCTATGAAACTAATTTCGACAGTTATAAACGAAAAATCACGATTTAACGGTTATTTTATCTCCGATTTTGATGATTTTTTACAGCGACACTCCTGACCCTATATGAATACAATGAATGGATTCGATCTTCAAATTAAAATATTTACACAAGTGGATACCACAAAATCTTATGTTATACTTAATGAAAGTATAAATAAACTCTAAGTGTTAGTCAATCTATTGTTTTGATGGAATACAAATTCTCGGAAACTAATTTCAACGATCCCAACCGTCAAACTTGTTTGCATATGCTTCGAGATCACATCAGCAAAAAATCACAAAAAACAAACATTCAGAGATCAAGTAACGGGACAAAGCTTTTCGACGGTTATAAACGAAAAATCACGATTTAACTGTTATTTTATCTCCGATTTTGATGATTTTTTACAGCTACATTCCTTGACCCTATATGAATAGAATGAATGAATTCGATCTTCAATTTAAAATATTTACACAAGTGGATACCACAAAATCTTCTGTTATACTTAATGAAAGTATAAATAAACTCTAAGTGTTAGTCAATCTATTGTTTTGATGGAATACGAATTCTCCGAAACTAATTTCAACGATCCCAACCATCAAACTTGTTTGCATATGCTTCGAGATCACGTCAGCAAAAAATCACAAAAAACAAACATTCAGAGATCAAGTAACGGGACAAAGCTTTTCGACGGTTATAAACGAAAAATCACGATTTAACGGTTATTTTAACTCCGATTTTGATGATTTTTTACAGCTAAACTCTTGACCCTATATGAATACAATGAATGAATTCGATCTTCAAATTAAAATATTTACACAAGTAGATACCACAAAATCTTATGTTATACTTAATGAAAGTATAAATAAACTCTAAGTATTAGTCAATCTATTGTTTTGATGGGATACGAATTCTCCAAAACTAATTTCAACGATCCCAACTGTCAAACTTGTTTGCATATGCTTCAAGATCACATCAGCAAAAAATCACAAAAAAAAACATTCAGAGATCAAGTAACGGGACAAAGCTTTTCGACGGTTATAAACGAAAAATCACGATTTAACGGTTATTTTAACTCCGATTTTGATGATTTTTTACAGCTACATTCCTTGACCCTATATGAATAGAATGAATGAATTCGATCTTCAATTTAAAATATTTACACAAGTGGATACTACAAAATCTTATGTTATACTTAATGAAAGTATAAATAAACTCTAAGTGTTAGTCAATCTATTGTTTTGATGGGATACGAATTCTCCGAAACTAATTTCAACGATCCCAACCGTCAAACTTGTTTGCATATGCTTCGAGATCACGTCAGCAAAAAATCACAAAAAACAAACATTCAGAGATCAAGTAACGGGACAAAGCTTTTCGACGGTTATAAACGAAAAATCACGATTTAACGGTTATTTTAACTCCGATTTTGATGATTTTTTACAGCTACACTCCTTGACCCTATATGAATACAATGAATGAATTCAATCTTCAAATTAAAATATTTATACAAGTAGATACCACAAAATCTTATGTTATACTTAATGAAAGTATAAATAAACTCTAAGTATTAGTCAATCTATTGTTTTGATGGGATACGAATTCTCCGAAACTAATTTCAACGATCCCAACCGTCAAACTTGTTTGCATATGCTTCAAGATCACATCAGCAAAAAATCACAAAAAACAAACATTCAGAGATCAAGTAACGGGACAAAGCTTTTCGACGGTTATAAACGAAAAATCACGATTTAACGGTTATTTTAACTCCGATTTTGATGATTTTTTATAGCTACATTCCTTGACCCTATATGAATAGAATGAATGAATTCGATCTTTAATTTAAAATATTTACACAAGTGGATACCACAAAATCTTATGTTATACTTAATGAAAGTATAAATAAACTCTAAGTGTTAGTCAATCTATTGTTTTGATGGGATACGAATTCTCCGAAACTAATTTCAACGATCTCAACCGTCAAACTTGTTTGCATATGCTTCAAGATCACATCAGCAAAAAATCACAAAAAACAAACATTCAGAGATCAAGTAACGGGACAAAGCTTTTCGACGGTTATAAACGAAAAATCACGATTTAACGGTTATTTTAACTCCGATTTTGATGATTTTTTACAGCTACATTCCTTGATCCTATATGAATAGAATGAATGAATTCGATCTTCAATTTAAATTAGTTTTTTTTAAATATTTTGAAACCCAGTGTTGCTTTTAAGCGACATATTGATTTAAATTAGTTTTTCGTTTTATAACCATCGAATAGTTCCATAGAATTTGTATCCCATCAAGTTCAATGGTGTGTGTATATATATATATATATTTATTAAGTAGATTTAAATTTATTTATTTTGTATGTATAACACTTAAAGAAATTGAATGGTATGTATATTGAAACTGATCCAACGGTCACCAATTTTAAAATTTAATTTAATATATATATATATATATATATAATTATTATAGTTTTTAGGGGTATAAAATTGTTACATTAATATATATAATTATTATAGTATTTTTTAGGGTTATAAAATTAATATATATAAAATTATAGTATTTGAAATATTAGGCGGGAAATTTCCCGCTTGTTTGAATGGATGGAGAGACTTAGTGTCGGTTTTAACCGACGCTAGTGTCATTAAAGCGACGCTATGTGAATTTCAAAAAGTGTGTCAGAAGTTGGCGTCGGTTAAAAGCGACCCTAGTTTCATTAAAGTGACGCTAGTTTCATTAAAGCGACGCGAGTTTCATTAAAGCGACGCTATGTGAATTTCAAAAAAAGTGTCAGACGTTTGCGTCGGTTTTAACGGACGCAAACTAAGTACCCATATTTAAACCCCTCTCTTTCCCATTTCAACCGTGCTTTCATTTCTCCCCCAATTTCAGACTTTCTTCTTCTCCTTCCCCATTTCATCTGTGCGTCCCCTTCTTCCTCCTTTTCATTTTTTCCTCAACTCCTTCCCCGTTTGCTTTGGATCACCAGTTTGAAGATCAACATTCTGAAGAACTCCAATTCGAGGAGGAAGAGCTTGAAGGTGGTTCATTTTTAAATTATTATGATTATTAATTTTAGTTTCTATTTTGTATTCTAAATAGTTTTATGCTTAAATTGAAAATTTATTTTTGTTTCTTGGTTTTTAATTGTTTTTTTTGTATTTATGCATGTTGGATCTGAAGAGCAAGGACACTGGAAATCGCAGATCCATAATTTTTTAAAGGTATAAAACCTGAGTTTAATCTATAGAGATTAGAGCCTTAATGTTGAAGTAGTAAAGTATTGGAGCACTGATCTGATGGCAAGCATGGCAGCATGGAGTTGCTAGTATTATATATGGCACTATGGAGCTACAAAATATGTGGTCTTCGACAAAGGCAAGCACAGGAAAGCATGGAGGATGAATTTTTGTAAATTATATGGAATGTTAGATGTAAAACATTTGTATATTATGGCACTATTTTTCTTTTGAATTATTTTTATTATTGTTTGTTTTGGCCTAAAATTGAAATTTATTATTTCGATTATATAATTTTTTTGAGTTATAATTATTTGAGAACGAATCCAGAAACAGATTTCGACTTTTTTTTTAATTATTATTATCAAAGGTGGTGTCGCTTTAAATCGTCACTAGTTTGCATATTTTATTTATTTAATTGTTCTCTAACA